CTTTTTCTTTTTTTTTCTCCCTTTGACCAGTCAAATCCTTAAAGTCTTCTCCCAACAATCACCATGCCCTGCAAAATTATAGTGATACTAGTCCAGCACCAGGAGATTTCATAAATCTTAGGTCAATATTTGGGAAGTTATTACACAAAGTTTAGGTACCAATATTAACTGATCTTCCAATGTTTTGTACAATAACTTCTCTAAAATCCCTGAAGGAGAAAAGAACTAATTAACCAGTATGGACAGATAAGGATTGATTATTTTAAAGAACCATATTTTTAAACACTTATTTTGGCTTTAAGGATAAAAACTGCATTTTCCAAGAGAATTCAAATCACCAACAGCATTCTTTTACCTCTTCCTTCTCATGAGCATGGCTTCCACCAAGGTCAATGTAAACAGCATCTTTATCATACACAATACCCCCGACTCCTGAAAGAGGAGCATAGACAAGCTTCTCTTTCTCATTTAAGGAGCGCTTCTTCTGCTGCTCAGGGAGAGCACAGGGGTCTGGCAGGAAACTCACATCACTTACAGTGAAATCTCCTACACCTGAGGGGACACACAAAGGGAATTAACAAAGTTTGCAGAGTCTGAAATTTGTGTAATTCACCATGAAGAGATTCAAAACCCATGCTCCCCCCCCCAAAAAAAAAGGAAAAACAAACAAACCAAACCCAGACATTGTGGCATTCAATGATTCAGCAATAAACATCCAATTCCTCTGCCTTACCACTGAACTTAGAGAAGTATACATAAATTCACCAGAATCCTGCAAAGCTTTGTTTCTTTGCTTGTTTTCAAATGACAAAAACAGCAACACACTTTTCTGAGTACTTCTGTAAATTTATTATTACAGTATTTCTTAATTTAAACTTTTTAATCATTCAATTGAAATATTAAGTTATTAAATTCTGATAATAATAAATATATTACATAATTTACTAATTTACATCATTCAAATTTGCTTTTCATTATTAAGGCTGGTACGTTTTACATTTTAAGCACCTTTTAAAGTGATAAACCTTTGGAAAAAAAAAATGCTGTGAACAATGTGTTTATCAGTGCAACAAAACTGCACAATTAAAGGCAAAACTAATTACAAGATTTATTTTCACAGAAGTGTGCATTATGAAAAAAAATTTCAAAAACATAACAGGTATTTAGAAAGGTGAAAAATCTGTTGTATAACAAACTTTAAAGATAGAAATAATTTCAGCTATGTTGTTTTTCACAGATCAGTACAGAAAGAGTTCTAAGACTCTGAAAAATTACCTGGCATATGAATTTGACTTTTGTTTTTTAGGTGTGCTCCTCTCAGGTATCCATACAATGATATCTTCCTGTCACATTTGGGATTGATTCGAACATCCTCTGGGTTTGTCAGCTCTTCCATTCTATTCAACATTTAAAATGATAGTTAAAATATCCAGAGTCCCAAAGGTAACTTTTGAGAAAAAGAGAACATCACTGCTGCCACTACATGATCTGCAAACTCTAATAATCAAAACTGAATTATCATAAGAAAGAAAAAAATCATCGATAAAAACGGTCTTCTAAAAGCATTTTAAAATCATATTT